CTGTGATAGATCTGCGTCTTCCTTGAGTTTTTCCGCGATCGTCGGTTTTCTGTCTGCTATCGCCGTGGCGAACATCACAAACAATAACACAAAAAGCCCACCCATTTTTGTTACACACATTTTCACTGTACACTCGCGAGATTCATCTACATTGAGGACGAGCGTCGACGGGGGCCACGCGATACTAAATGCCGGCTTGGAGGCAGCTTCGTCGCGGTGACGTATACTTCTTTCCCGCTCACGCACTTTGTGGTCACACTGGTCACATGACCATGATCCATTCAAAATGTAACGACGATGTTTTAACGGTTAATAAAACCTTTTTAACCGAATTCGGTAGGAATATAAATTTTGGCTTTAGTAATGTTTCTTAGGGCAACCGTTCATACTGCAGGTCTTTAGGAGAAAGTTTATGTCCGGCACAACGTTCATCAGATGAACTTGCATATGAAAAATGTATTAATTAAAAAATACATTGCAATCTAAGTACCCGAAGTAAGGTAATTGGAAATCTATTTAGCCTAGCTATTGTTAGAGATACTTATAAAAATAATAATCTTTCTAATTATTTTGCGGTATTTTTTGTTAAATAGTTACTTATTTTAATAGTAAACTACTACTAGTAACTGTTGCTACATTATAAAATTTGCTAAAAAAAGTTTACCCAATTCACACGTTTTCAGTATTCAGATTTTTATTAAAATGAGCCTACCTAGTTAGACGAATAAGAATAACGACGAAATAAAAATTTAATGCAAAAATAATCTCAAATTACATTAAAACTTTGTTTTTGGAAATAGCCGTAGTATAAATCACAATTAATTTTATTTGTGATAAACCCTAGTAAGATAAAATGTAATCGTAGTTCGACCCTTTATGAAATACCCATACAATATAGTTTTTTTTTAATTTCTTAAGTGTATCTCGTTACCTAATAAATAAATGATTTTCAACGTTTACTTAACCTATATCTACCTAATCATGTTATTACATATAAAAAACCTACGAAAAAAATAAATTATGTTCTCAACATTTTACATAAAAGTATAAATAAAATTCCTACGTATGACGTATTTTAAAAAGTCTTTTTAGAAAACGTAGCACACCTTACCTATGTTTTATCTCAATCTTCCCTCCATTTTTTACACTTGTATAATCAGATTATTCCCATTTAAAGTGCCAACACGTGATTTAGTGGACTCTGCAAATACGCAAATTGTCTTGTTAACGTAAATTGTCCCATGAGTGTAATGGACTCCATTAAATACAATATATAGTACGCTTCCCGGAACATCGAGAGAACCTTCCTCGTTCTAGACAAAGCGTCCTTTTTTCTTCGAACGGGGACGTTACAGAGAAGCGCGTTCCGACAACAACTCTAATCTATTGTATAATTTATCTTGCAATAATCTTCCCGTGTTATACGAGCTTCTTCTGTTCTAAACAGGACAACTTAGTTTACTAAAATACCCTTGTATTGTCCGATTATTGCATTTCAAGTGCCAACACGTGATTTAGTTGACTCTGCAAATACGCAAATGGTTCTTGTTAACGTGATAATTGTCCTATTGAGTGTAATGGACGTCCTTTAAAAGAATCTTTAGTTATTTTTGGTTTTTGGGAAAAATTTTTGAATATTTTTTTAGGTTTTTTGTTCCTTTTCGCGGCGCCCGCAATCCCTCAAAATTAAATACAATATTTTTACATAGCCATTGTTTTTTACTTAGCGCAGCTTTCGTACCTAAGCGTAGAATAAGTCAAATCGAGATGTACTATTGCCCTAGTATAACCTTAAATGTTTCGCTTTTCCAGACGTGGGTATGGTGGATAAATATTTTCGCTGTAAGTAGAATTGTATGCACTCAACGAAGTTTCGTGTTTAATTGCCGCCAATAAAAATTAAACCATAGAATATTTTCATCAATAAAATATACTCCTTTTCTCCCAACGATTACCAAAATATACGGTTCAACGGGTTACAAAATGAAATTCTAATTTTCTAAAATACGGGTGCTTATGATTCGTAATAATTTCAATTAAGGAAATGTTGCCATCCATCATTCTGCGACGTCGTCACTTTACGATTAATTCCTCTTGTCTGTTACTGCTGTGGTACGAGCGACAATTTGTTATATAATTCATGTTTAATCCCGTACCATGACACATCAATTATATCATTGCATTGAACGTGTAACAAACTTAATAGAACCGCTATCTATTTATCATTCCATATTCGTGTATTCATTTCAGTATATTTTAATTTTTTTTTCCATAATTGTCTGACCAGTATTTTTAAATAGTAAAACAATCGATAGTATTAGTGTACAGTAGTTCTAGTGTAGCAGTTTTTACTTTGACGTCAGAGACTCTCTCTATCTTTAGTCTCCCCATGACCACGGCTGCTGCAAAGCATCGAAACTTCGGGCCGTAGTTAAAACAATTTTCAAAATAAGTTTAACTATATTATTAAATATATCGCGGTTAAAACCGTTAAAGACTTTTTTTAAAGGTATACTACTCGCGTAAACTACAAACAGTATTTAAGGTTGAATATGACAATATTTAAAAGTATGTATGGTAACTTGGGCCATGAGTGGATTCAGTTTTGGCGCCAGGATGGGAGTCACATAGTCGTGGTCAAGTCAAGAACCTTTAATTTAATTTTGATAATAATAGATACAAGTAAAAAGTAGGTATTTTATCAATGTACCCTAATACCCCTCCCCCGCCCCCGTTGATCAGCTAGTGCTTAGACCACTCTTATAGTATTCTCGGTCTTTGAGAATTAATTTGAAATACTTAGGCAATTGATACAAAACATAAGCCGCGTTCGAGCAATCTATTTCTTTTCGGGTCTTACAAAAACGTTCACTAACATTATAACTGAACGAAAACTTTCAGTGAAAAATGCCTTCAGCATCGAATATTATAAATCGATAGACGATATTTTTACGAAGTTCGTAAGGCTTCGAGAGCGCGCATTCATTTCGTTCGTGAAAAGTTTATCGTTAACCCGTTATCGGGATGCACGCATTTTGGCCCGGCGCCAGCGTCTCCGGACCAACAACTTTATTATGCATTACCCGGTGTCGTGTTAACCTAAATAAGCAACAGTTCACTTGCCAAGTTTCAGCTAGACATTTTCATTAGGTGATGGCTCTGTCATCACGCGCACCCAATTAACAGCCTCGCGGGAACTTTTTAATTGCGATCGAGACTAAAATTGTAAAATATATTAGCTAAAGCGTGATGTGAATTTCACTCGGTATTATTACTTGTACGTGATTAAGGGAATCGTCATATTCACGCTTAAATACTGTCTGTAATTTACGCTCTTTAACGGTTAACAGCGCGTGTTCCTGCGGTTTACAGTGTGTGTCAGAGACACACCCTTTACCTTTAGCTCCCGTGACCACGACTGCTGCAAAGCATCCGAAACGACGGGCTTAAAATAATTTTCAAAGAAGTTAAACTTATATATATCAAGTTTCAAACCGTTAAAGTGTTTTATTTAAATATTCACCCTTTCTAATTCGCTTCGTTGATCGATTTGATGTAGACACAAGTTAGGTAATCGGAGTTCTGACCGAAAGCGTATTATGTTATTTCGGGCTTAAAACTGTGGATTTTTAGTTATTTTAATTGCCTTACTACTTTCGTGATCGTTGCTTAGCAACGCGTTTAATCATAGTAGGTTTATTCTTAAATACTGTCTATAGTTTACGCGAGTAGTACACATTTAAACAAAACACTTTAAGCCGTGGTCACGAAGAGTCTCCCCGTGGCCACGGCTACTGCAAAGCATCCGAAATGTCGGGCCGAAGTTAAAAATCATTTTCAAATAAGTTTAACTAATATATCGCGTTTTAAACCGTTAAAGTGTTTTATTTAAAAGGTTTATTCTTGCCCAATTTCAGTGCGGATCGTCAAATCTGTGGTCTTTGTACGAATACAAGCATTTAAAAGGGTCATATATATTTTGTTCAGCTGAAGCGTTAGATTAGGCGGCTCTACGGCTCAAAAGATTTATGAAGGCAATACTAACTCCATGCGAGTAAGTGAGCACACCAAGAGAATACCAGATATTCTTTGTAGGATGTTATTTCCTCTGAGTAAACAAGGAAATAAAATTAAGCTCCCGTTATTTTGGTAGAGGCTTAGCCGCTAAAAGCTAGTATGATACTTGTCTGTGTTCTAGTTGATGCAGGAAACATTTATTATACACGTTTTGTTTAAGTATCACATTTAGGACACCTACTTAGATACTACACTCGATCTTCAAAGTAAAGAATTAATTATGATAAAGCCAATAATTTTTTGTCTTATATTGTTCGAATTATGTCCCTTTTACGATAAATAACAAATAGATATTGTATAAATTAAAAATCGAATATATTTTTTTTAATTCGACACGGGCAAGACTTGCACCGGTATCGTCAGCGTTCTGTGCTCTAACCTATTGTGCTTTTTGTTTCCTCTAATTTAACAACATAAAAATTAAAACGTAACAATTTAATTTAAAATCGTAGCACAAAGGCAATTTTATTGTGTTGTTTAGTTATACTGTTTGATAATTAGTAAACATTTGTATTTCCAAATTTCCAGATTTGCTCTGGATTGGACGGAATAGGCAGATAGCGTTAAAATGTTATATGGCTGGATTATTTCACCTTTCATAATTACCCTATGCTTGTCTGTCCTCATCATAATTTAGTCTAAAATATATCTAATTATATCTTGTACCGCCCCTGTAGCCAAACGGTTTTAAACGTAATGCCTAGCATTGCGTTAAACGCGAGAGGTCCTAGGTTCGAATTCCAAGGAAACAAACAATTGTTTCGGTGAGGCAGGGCACGGAAGTCACATTACTTGCCTGAAACGAGAGGGAAACGGGATTTTTAATAAAACAAAATATGTATATATATATATATACACAGAAATTTATATATATATCTATATAAATTTCTGTGTTCGTTTCACTGATCAGTTCTTTAACAGGCAAGTAGTGGATCAGACTTCTGTGCCCTGCCTGACCGAAACAATTGTTTGTTTCCTTAAATGTATGCTTTGTGTATAATACTTTGAATGTATATATACTTCCAGAG